GAACAAATCTGTGTACGAACGGTTCTTGCATAAGGCCCACTGTATAGACCCTCTGCAGCCTCTAAAACACGTAAGGCGTGTGCAAATCTCAAACACGGTTCATGAGTCATTTGGCTGGTGTGGCCATCTTGAATCAAGCTGACTCCAAAAGTTTATCAAATGTATGAGAGTTTCATTAAAATGTTATTTAGTTCATAAGCTAGGCAACAGACAGGCAAACACACACAGAGATATAAGGAAAAACATCAAGAATACAAGAAACAGGTGAAACCATCCATCTGAGAAAATAATCCCCTATGTTTCAGAGATTAAAACCCAGATTAAAACAGAAATCAGCTACAGACTGATGTGAACAAGACTGAGTGGCAGATTATTGTCAGAGCTGCTGAAAGCAAAATCCACAGATAAAAACCACAGGGACTTGGAACATGTATGAGGTATAGGTTTGACTTTTTGAGTAAAAATTAAGCATTTTTAGTCAAATAAATAAATAAATAACATCAAGCTGTTATCATTTAATTATAATAAAACAACAATGTTTAAAAGATTTATTATTATTAGTTTTACTAAAGAACTGGATCAGTTGAAAATAAAAGTTTATTTTGTTGGTTCTGTCACAGTTTGTATTAAAAGTGATGTTTTTGTGCGACAAAACAAATAATTTTAAAGAAAACACATTTCTGTTTTTATTTCTAAGACAGTTCTCCTTCCCTTGCAGACCWGAATCTGTTACTGAACATCTTCACACAGGAAGTTCATATTGTTTTCTGACTGATCTCATCTGCAGGGATCATCTACGACGTTATTGTAGAACCGCCGAGCGTGGGCTCGATGACCGACGAGCACGGACACCAGCGGCCCGTYGCCTTTCTGGCGTACAGGTACGAGCCACGTGTCGCGTCTCTGCACGTTTACCTGAGCGGCTAACCCTCGGCTAACTCCCTCGCCTTTCTTTTCCTCCAGAGTTAATGGGCAGTACATAATGGAAGGACTGGCCTCCAGTTTCCTCTTCACGATGGGCGGTTTGGGTTTTATAATCCTGGACCGGTCCAACGCGCCCAACATTCCCAAACTCAACCGCTTCCTGCTGCTCTTCATTGGGTTCGTCAGCGTCCTCCTCAGCTTCTTCATGGCCMGAGTGTTCATGCGCATGAAGCTGCCGTGAGTCAAAACCCTCATTTGGTTCTTAAATCCACGTTTTTAAGGATGAAGAGGCAACAGTGTCGTCTGTGTGTCCGTTAGCAAAATATCCCATGAACCACTGGACGGAGTTGATCAAAACTTTTAAGGAAAAACTACTTTTGCATCTAAAAGTCAGTCGGTTTGACAGATATTGAGCTGAAAGAGTCTCTTCCTCAACACATACTCTGAGCAGACACGATGTCATTTTCAGGGTTTGATCAAAACGACAAACTCCGCCCCCAGCGGGCGAAATGAGTTGCTGTGCGGGAGTTTTCAATTTGTGTTTTACAGGATTTCATTTTTTTGTTTGTTTCTTTAAGGTGCTAATTTGTCTTGTCTTTTCAGAGGATACCTGATGGGATAAGAGAMAAACACCAGTCAACAGATGGAGTCAAACGGACTTTTTACAGAAATGATGCTCGCCTCAGACAGGAAGTGAAGTTTAGGTCATGGATAGAAGTTGAATCAGAAATCAAGGACAAAAAGCACTGAGTTGATCAAGTCAAACTGCTCTTACAAGTCACATCGGCCCCAAGTCTCTGATGGTTTCTTACTTTATTTCCCTTCATTAATCATTTTTTAATTATTGGTTCTGTTTGGTTAAAAATACACCTCTCTGCAACAACTTGTTTTTGTTGGTTTAATTTTCCTTTACTCTAATTTGCTAAATATAAACAGATAAAATGTTCACAGAGGAAGAATCTCCTGAGCGAACGGATCATAGAATAAAACGCTGCGATTTATTTTGAAAGGTGCCGAAAATGTTCGTTTTTTGTATAAAAACAAGGGAACCTGTAAAAGTTTCATTTTTGTACAAGGTTGTCAAAATAAATCCTGTGRGAAGTTGTTTCATGAGTTTTGCAGTTAAAAAAAGACAAAGATCAGGTTTGTGATTTATTTTTAATTTTTTTAAAATCTGTGATTATGTTTCAGAGGAATAAATCACTTTTTTCAGAAGTGAAATTGGTTTCTGTAAAAACCAGATGTGTTGAGCTGTAATGTCACTTTGTTTCCACAAGATGGCGACAAAAGTTCAAATCTAATCCAGTAAAACACAAACACGCCAAGAAGGTTTAATTCAAACCCAAATACTTCAATTGTTCCCTTCACAGTAGATTTCACAGGCGTATAAAGTACTTAGTAGGTGGTGGTGGGAAGTAAAATTAAAAATACCCTAACAGAAGATGGTTTTAGTCAAAATTCATTTCTCTGATAAGAAAAGTACTTTAGTAAAGGTCTCTAAATAATCAAAGTAAAAGTACTTTTAAAC